ATATATATATATATATATATACATATAAAATTTCTATTTACTTTAATGGCATTTTTCGTTGAAAGAAAGTTGTTCCAACGTGACTCGAAATTCAACGACTGGTTTGGTGATTTATTCGATAATCTCTCGAAATATCTGTAGAAACTCAAGATAGATGTATAGATAGATAGATAGATAGATAGCAATAGTAAAAGAAAGAGAGATAGTGATAGAGATAGAACTAGATAAACCACAAGAGGAATTACCACTAGTATAAGTTCCATGAATTCGTTTTGAAGGAAATCGTTTAACGTTAGGGTTTCAGATCGTTTGCGTTAAAATTTTACGGTCTGTAGGAGAGCCGAGTTATAATTAAACTATTAAATTACGAGCTGGAACTTTGCCACTCGAACTCGATAGACGTTCTCAGGGAATATAGTTGAGTTGCATGAGTTTCTACCTATATGCAATCCAAAATTACAAAAGAGAGAGAGTGAGAGAGAGAGAGAGAGAAAACAAGATATTTCAAACTATAAGCTGAATGTGTGTGTTTTGATCAAAAATCGATTCAATACTTTATAGATGTAACGTTTATCGATATAATTTATAGACCCAACCAAAAACTACTATGAAAAGATAGATATTCAAGCACATATCATTGAATTACTTGTGAAATAATTCAAACTAAGGTGAACATCATCTTTTTTTTTTATTTTTTTATCTTTTATTATACGTAACTATAATTTCTCAGATGCGTAGGAATAAAATAAAATGTTATATTTAATATGAAAATTATTTTTTATTTTATTTTATATGAACAAAAATAAATTTTTTAATAATTTTTGTTATAGTTGTACGTCAATTTATTATATTTATATGTATTGTATTTTTGTTATATCTTTATTATATTTATTATATTTTTAGAAAAAAAAGAAATCACATATAATACACACACCGAATACTTCCAACTATACAACAATTTATACATATATTATTACTATTATTATTATTATTATTATTATTACAATACATAACATTATCGATTTTCTCTTGAACCAAAACTTCCTGTAAATTCCATAAGAAAGAAAAATAAAAAAAAAATAAAAATAAAAATAAATAGGACACACGTATATTGATATATTTTGTCATAAGGTATATTTGCAAGGTTTGAAAAGAAAGTTTGATATTATCTTTGTTTTTTCTTTTTTTTTTCTCTCAAAAATAGAAGAGAAAACCATAATAAGTTTTGAAATTGGAGATATGTACATTGTGTCAGAGTATCAAACTCACTCAGTTAATAACAACTAGTACCTAACACCAAATTGAGAGAAGATATATACTAAAAGTGCTTAGTCGGCCAATGAGAAGACGTTAAAGCCCTTATTCCTGCTCCTATTGTTCTTCTTACCCCTTTCAATGTTGGAATATTGAGAAGGGGCTTGCTAAACCTTTGATAATAACTGCATCATACCTATTTCGAGTTGTTCTCAGTTTATTAAATGAATTCTACATGACTCTAACATTTTCTATTAATTTAATCTCAAATATTATTTCAACATTATTCATAGTATTTTATTTCTTTATTTTTTCATTCATATTTTTGTTGTTGCAAATTAAACTTCTTCAAACATTTTAGATTTTTTTCTAATTATTTCGATACAATTAATTGCAATCAATTTTTTGTTCTTTCTTTCTTTCTTTCTTTCTTTCTTTCTTTCTTTTTTATTTCTTTTATTGTAAATCATACGAACGTAATCGAACCAACGATACGCAAGCACGGATTGTTAATCGTTCAAAAAAAAAAAAAAAATAATAATAATAATGGAAATAAAACGAACGCGTTGTTGTTCGGCAAATATCATGGAATATGTCAATCCATTTCGAATGCGAAACGAGCCTGTCAATATTTTCTCTTACGGATTTTCGCGCAAACGAAACAAACAGAAAAGGAAAGAAAGAAGGAAAGGATAAAACGAATAAAAAGCCGAGAATAAAAGGTAAACAAAAAAATTGTCGAGATTTTTCTTTTACGATAAAATTTCTTCGATCTTTATGTCTCATCATTTTATCTTTTTGTGGTAGAAATAAATTCTAGAATTTCGATACGAGATGTTACAACGAACAGGACAAAAACACACAATTTATATTTATTATTATTTATTTAATTATAAAAATGTGCGCCTGTAGGAATGCAACCCTCCAGACACACTTGAAAATGTTGCTTGCGAGCGCTATCTATTGGGTAGGAATTTTTTTTTCTGCCCGAAAGATAGGCAACTCGTAATACATAGGTGTA